TGTTTCCCATTTCCTGGGTGCAGGACATGTGAAGAGGCTCTCACAGGTAAGAAATGATTTTGAAAAGAAAACGTAGGTGATTGTACACAGCGGGGGACTTAGGAGACCTGTTCACTTAGAGTGTTTGTCATTTGCCTGCTGCAAAGCTGACTGCAGAATTTTGGGCATGTGGGCAGGAGGAGCACACTGCTGGAGATGTAGTATGCAGTCAGTCTCCAGGGTGCTCACATTTTGTAGGCATCAGGCTGCCTCTCCAAGGGCATTAACCTTCAGGGACCACTAGAACCGAGTTGACTCCCTCTCACTGTGATCAGGTTGCTTATGCTCATGCAGAAAACCACCACTGCTGCTTGTATTTTGCAATGGTGCCCAGTGCTTGTGTGTCACAGGTCTGCAGAGGTCCTGTCTATGTAAGTGACACCATCTTGTATGGGGCCTAGGCTGACTGAACTTGTGGTCTATCTCCAGACTGACTGTCTTCACTACCAAATGAGATGTAGGTACTGTGTGGGGAGAAAACTCACATGGGGCACTCAGCATGGAGTACTAGTTAAGCACTGGTTATTGCTAGTCATACACACACACTATAATAACTGCAGACAAAGAACATGCATAAATCATATTGCATAGGTGAATTGGGATGTGCAGTGATGATTTAAACTCAGAGGTCCTGTTTCTTCAGGGCTCAAACTGTCCCTGCCCAATTCCTTGTGTTCTGGTCATCGTTATACAGGGAGGGAATGAAATATTTCATAGAGGACAATGCTCAGGAATGATTTTCTGGTTCTGTTTTAGAAGGGAACTGCTCACCCTCATCTATAAATTGATTTTAAGACCCAAGACAAGCAGTTTGAAAATACTATGGAATATGAAATTACTAACAGTTTTTTTTTAAGCTAAATGGACGTGTTACTTCTTATTTCAGAGACTTTGGCATTGTATTGGGATTATAAAAAGCATTTATTGAATTTATATAAGCATCCCCATTCCCTTGTGGGATAGTCAATGGAAAACTGCCCTTTTAGACTGTTAATACCTTCAAGGCACAAATACCTTAGGGTTATTTTAACCTAATCCTAATACATCCCAACATAATCAACAATTTCTAAATAATTGACAGAAGGGTAGTCCCTCCCATTGGCTGGGAACCTGCAAGACTCTCAATCTCCATGACTCACAGCTCTACCCTGCAGAGATGATCTTAGGTTTCTAGGCTGGGTCACTAATTAAAACTGCTTTCTCCACCATCAAAATAATGGTTTTAATCAAAGCAAGTTAGTTTAAAAATGGAAGCTGTCCAGCGGACACTGAATCAAGTCCCACTTTGCTAAAAATGATAGTAGGTGGTATTGTAAGTGGATCCACAGGCAGTGTGGAACAAGGATGCGGGAGAGGTGTCTGGATTGAGCTCCAGAGAAAGCCAGATGTGAAGGGCTATAAAGCAAAGACTTCAGCCCTCAACTGTTCCCTTGAGAAGGCATTTGTTGCTTTTCTCAGGGTTGACTGTATGAGAGGAAAGGAACCCTTCCTTGCTCCAAATCCACTCTGGTTTAAAGCTTACCAAGTACAGAAACCAATTCTGAGAATGCTTGATTCACAGAATGCACAAAGGCAAAGGATGCCCCTGTATTAGCAACCACTCAATGCCCCTGTGGGAGCACTACTCAGTGCTCCTGTGGGAGCATCTACCAATGCCCCTCTGGGAGAATCTACCCAATACCCCTCTGGGAGAATCTACCCAATACCCCTGTGGGAACATCCACCCAATACCCCTGTGGGAACATGCACCCAGTGTTCCTGTGTGAGCACCACATAAGTGCCCCTGTATGAGGACCACCCAAACACAGTGCTAGCACCCAAGAGTGAGGCTCATTCTTGTGAGTATTAGAGACAGAAATTTAAAAAGCCAACTGTTTTTAGAGTAGGAATGAACTCCAGCATAAACGCAAATACTTTTTCATAAAACAGGATTCCCAGGTTAAATCTTAATCCCCAAAAGTATAATGCAAATTTCTACTTCTTCCTAATTAAGGGATAATGTCTATCAAATGTATCCCTATCAGAAATGAGTGGTGGGAATTCAGAGCTACATAACCTAATATGGTAGCTACTATTCCTATGTGGCGATTTAAATTAATTAAAATTAAATAAAATTTAAAATGTGTTCCACAATTGTACTGGCCATGTTTCAATAGCTGCATGAGACTTGTGGTTACAAGACAGACTTATAGAATATTCCCATCCATGTAGAAAGTAATACTGGGTAGTACTGATCTAGTCAAGGATATTTAGAGATGTCAAAAAGGAAACTGTTCATTTCTTCCTCGGGAGGCAAGCTCCAAACCTTGCCTAACCTCCTACAGCTGGCATGACCCAGAACAGCGCACACCCAAAATGTCTCATCATCTTGTGTCGTTCCAACCATCCCATCTGAGCTCTCTCTATGTTGAGTGTCTTTAGCATATGAAGTGCTTGTCATGCAAGCATTAGGACCCGAGTTCTCATGCTCTAGTGCCCATGTGAAAAGCTGACCGGGAAGGAGGTAGGTAGACCTCTGAAGCTCATTGGCCCAGACAACCTGACACAATCAAGGAGTTTCAAGTTTGGTGGGACACTATTTCAAAAAATAAAAGTGGAGAGAGATTAAGGAAAGATATGCAGCATTGACCACAGGTCTCCACACACACACACTCATACCCAACACATACACAACAACATAATAATGAGAGTTACCCAGGCCCAGCAAGAACCTCATCACTACTGAGTCCCAAGTCCAAAGTCACAGGTTCTTTCCAGGCAGAGGAAGATTGCCAGGTGATGCATTATCTTCTCGGTATCGTTTTTTGAGTAATTGGCCACTGAAATGACCCCAAAGGGCCAGTTTACAGTGACACAAAGGACTAAGACTGCGGCGTCCAGCTTCCTTCCCCCTCTCAGGGCTCCAGATTGCCACTTCATCTGGCCACTGGATTACAGAGGTACTGGTCGCAAGGAAAACCAAGATAAAGTGCTTGACAATCACAAAGCAGCACAAGTGAACACGACAGTCCGAAAAGGTGACAACTGTGAGCAAGGTGACAACTGTGGCAGGCTGTAGCAAAGACTAACAGAGATCATTATCGTGTTCACGAAAAATGATGACCCTACAAAGCAAACCATCCCTCCTCACAAACAAAGCATCTAAAGAGAAACACATGGATTCAGCAATTGCTATCAAGATATTATAACACAAAATTTAAATGCAGATTATGAGCATTCATGTTTCAAATAGTTTATGTTTGCTCAATGTCAATTTACGGTGTCCAGTTTGTGAACTTCCAACTTGGAAGGCTTTCAAAACATTTAATCAATTTATATACTAAGGACAAACCATTAAAAACCCTACACTTATTCCATGAAGATTAAATTCACACTTCTAGTTTATTAAGAGATGACAGCTGCTGGTGTGATGGCACACGTCTTTAATCCCAGCACTGGGAAGGCAGAGGCAGGTGGATCTCTGTGAGTTTGAGGCAGCCTGATCTACATAGTAAGTTTCAGGACAGCCAGACCTACATAATAGAGAGCTTGTCTCAAGAGGCTGGAGAGACAGGCAGGCAGGCAGGCAGAGACAGAGACAGACAGACAGATACACACACACACACACACACACACACACACACACACACACACACACGGATGGACAGGGCAGCTATGGTTAATATTGGAAGAAAGGTCCTCTCCAGGACACATGTAAGAAAAAGTTAAGTATCTGGTGCACTAAAGGTAAGATTGTGAATTTATTAACTTTGCATTTATTACATATATGCGCCTAACGGTTTACCCTCAACTTGGGAAACTTTAAGCGGGTCAACGTAGTAACTACTACCATAGACTTTACACACCCACAATCGCCTACCCTTTTTATTAACTGCAGCCTAGAATGGAGTTACAGTCCTGCATTATTAAACTCTGTCGTCGATTCAAGCAGAAAATTGAAGAAGCAGAAACTAATATTGCCCTTTAGGCTGTGTTACTGTAATAGATCTGAGAACTGCTTTTACTCTTTTTATTTTTATTGTTAAATATATCAGTGTATTTCTATTCCTTAATAGGACCACGCATGTAGGTGGTCAGCATGGGATCGCCCAGGGAGATATCTGGCTTCCATTCCACCTGGGCAATCACAAGCCTGGCCCAGCCTTGAAAAGACCTGGCCGGTATAACCGCAACCGACAGACCAGCAAAGTGCTGAGGATAAAATAAAGTGTCATGGGGGTGGGGGTAGAGGGTAGTGGGTGGGAAGGGATGGACGGGGGGGGGGGGGCGGCGAAGGAAGATGAATCTCAACTGGGAAACCCCTCATTCTCCCTTTGACTCATTTCACCAGGGGAAAACCACTCAGTGAAGGCTCTCTCCATAACCCGAGGCCGGCGACTTTTTAAAATTATTGTGACCACGGACAAGCAGAGAGAGCCGAGTGCACGGCGACCCGCACCCCCGCCCACGCTCAGTCCCAAATCCCGGAAGCTTCCCGGGAATGCGCGCCCAGCGGGGCACCGCAAGTTAGCGCCCGGGGCGGGCTCGGCTCTGCAGCTTCCCCCGGTCCCCACCGGGAGCGGCCGCGGCGGTGGGACACCTGTCACCGGGCCGGGCGGGAGCCGCAGGCGGCACTGCGGCGGCGGGGAGCGCGACGGGCGAGCCGCGGAGCCGCACCGCTCGCCTCGGGCTCGGGAGCACGCCGCCCGGGGGCTGGGGATGCAGTGCCACCGCCCGGGTGGGGTCGCCCCCTCCCGGGGACCGGAGCCGAGCGGGCCGGGCGGCGGGGCCGAGGGGCGGAGGAGGACGCCGCGCCTACCTGCTCCGGGCGGCGGCGGCTCCCGGGCCGTGACCTGCGGCGGCGGTGGCGGTGGCGGCGGCGGTGGCGGCGGCGGCAGTCGCGGCGGGGAGGGCGCTTTCTTCAGGAAGGGGTGGGATCTGCTCGCCCGCCCCCTCCCGCCGCAGCTCGGCCGGTCCCCGACTTAGTCCCGGGTCCCCTGCGGGGCCTCGGGTGGACGGCGCACCCCTGCGCTCCCGGCTCGCACCTCCTCCAGTCCCCGGTCCCTCAGAGTCACCCGGGGCTGAGGCCGGCGGTGGACGCTCCTCCAATCGCTTCCTTCCAAAGCCAAGGGGGACGCGCTAGCCTGGCGCTCCTCACCCAACAAAAGGCAGGACGGAATCCGCGACCCTCCGCCTGCTGCTTATTTATTCCGGACCTGTGGTAACCTTCTTGCTGGCTTGCTTCTGTCCACACACCTAGGGCTTTGCACATAGCAGCTACAATTCATTTTCAGGCCCGCTAGCCCTGTGTAGTTCTCCGCCACCCGCTGCCCTCACGTGGTTTTCTTTCATCTTACTCAACAGACACAGGGACAACTTCTGACCCTGATGATGAACCCAGGACTTCAAGGCCGCTCTCCTACAACCAGTTCACTCATGTCCCTTGTGTCCTGGTCGAGTCGTCATAAAACTGTATTCATTAGCATTTTTGTAGCCGGCACTGTCGCTGAACCCCTAAGCACCGTAGCCTAGTGCCATTTTAATCTTAGATTCATGGCTAACTTACTTTGCTGGCCTGCTTTGCATGGTAGGTCCCCTAGAGAAACCTACCACACCCATCTGTTTAAGCCCTCGCCTCTCAGAACACACACTTATCCCTCCTCGATTCAACCTGATCAAAATTTCCACAGCTGGCTTATAATTATCCACATGAGATGTGCGTTGATTTCTGGCTACTGTTCTGTTCTGACTACTGGACTGTTAGGTTTTGGAGAACATACACATGACTTTCTGTTGACCATACATTCAGGAAGGGGGCCATTATTTAGTCAATTAAGGGGGCAGACCAAAAGTTAATTCTGGCATAGAATCCCCGAAAGCATATGCTGAATGGGGGCGGAAGTTTTTCCAAAGAGAGTTAATTAACTGCAGCTTCTTCAGACGCTCTAAGTGGCCTGTGAGTCCCCCAAAGTTAAGACTTGTCTGAGGCCCACCATGAACCCCAGCTCTGAAGATTATACCCCTACTTCCTGTCCCCCTGTTTGTTTGAGACAGAGGTAGCCTGTGATGCCCAGGCTGCCATGTTGACACTTCTGTGTGCAGCCATTAAGACTGCATTTGACCATGAGTTTATCAAAAATGCATGGGGAAAAAAAATCATTGATTCATGCAACTAGGGGGGGGCACGAACATGGTGCCCCTGGGGGTTGGGGTTTGGGGTGGGAGAAGATATTAAAATGCTGATGAATGCATTTTTATGACTACCCAACCAAGTCGTGAGAGGAAAGAGCCGCTGGCCCTGGAGAGTGGGTTTTGGAACCCTTGAGATTTTCTCCGCCTCGGTCTCCAAGTGCTGAGATTGCAGGTGTTTCATCTCATCTCATCTCATCTCATCTCATCTGCTTCCGCCCCTCCCTCCTTTCTAAGTCCACTGCAAGAGCACTCCAGCGGGACTTCTTTCTGACTCGTTCTTTTAAAACTGGTTTATTTTCAATTATGAGTATATTAGCATCCTCTGTTTGGGTGTGTGCATACCAGTGCGGGAGCCTTTAGAGCCCAGAGGCATCCAGCAAACCCCAGGAGCTGGAGTTACAGATGGTTGTGAGGCAACGGATATGGAGACTGGGCACTGCACTTGGGTCCTCTGCTAGAGCAGCACATGCTCTAACTACTGAGCCTTCTCTTCCGGTCCTCTAATTTCTTCTTCTCCTCCTCCTTCTCCTTCTTCTCTCTCTGTCTTTCTGTCTCTGTCTCTGTCTCTGTCTCTCTCTCTCTCTCTCTCTGTGTGTGTGTGTGTGTGTGTGTGTATGCTCTCGCATGTTCTGTGTGACTGCGCTGTGGACTGAATCTAGGGCCCAGCACTTGCTAGGCAGTCACTCTACCACTGAGCTACATTCACAGCCTCCTAACTATTTTAGATCTAGATCCATCCAAAGAATTACTGGTTCCTCTTAGCTTGTAGATCAGAATCACCTGTGGAACTTAAAAAGCAGTACAAAGGCCCTCCAACTCCCTTGAGTTAGAGCCCAGAAAAGGGGGGGCATTGTAAATCTGTGTGTGTGTGTGTGTGTGTGTGTGTGTGTGTGTGTGGTGTTTGAGACAAAGTCTCATGCAGCCTAGACTGGGCTAGAACTCACTGTATTATATAGTAAGGCTGGCCTTGAACTCCTGCCTCAGTCCCCCAAGTGGTAGAATTATGGTCAGCTCTCTTTTTGTCTTTTAAGGAGATTCATGTCATGGTTGGTATTGCTCAGCAACCCCAAAGAATCTAGAATCACCTGTGAGACCAGCCTCTGGGTGTATCTGTAAGAGATTTCCTACATTAGGTTAGTCTCCAGGATGGTCTGAAGGAATTCTCTAGAACAAGTTGATTGGATTTAGGTGGGCTGGAGTCCTGAACCAAATAAAATGAGAACACAGGCTGCTCCCTATCAAACCTCTCCCTCTGTTCTCCAAACCCAGATGCAATATACCCATTCACCTCAAGTTTCTGCGGTCACAGCTCCTCACAGGGATTCACTCTACCCTGGAACTCTAAAACAAAGTCAACCCTCTCTTCCTTAAGTTGGTTTGTCTGGTGTCCTGGAAGAAGATGTGAGCAAACACTTCACCAACAGGCAGAAGCAAGGAGTCTACACTGCATTCGGGAAAACAGTGTGATAGTTGGGCTTATTGACACAGCATGGGTAAGGAACTTGTTATAGGGGCAAGAATGACTCAAAGACAGATGCATCACCAAAAAAATAAGTGAAAATAAAAGCCCGTCCCAGTGTGGTCAGCACAACACTGCATTCTGATAGCGGTAGGAGCTCCCCCCCCCTGCCACCACCACCCCCTCCCGGCTGCGATGGGAACCAGTGGCCAGAAATGGAAAATGAGAAAACATCTGGGTATACCCCAGCATCCTCACTTCCCTCCACCATATCCATGAAACAGTCCTCAGATCAGGGAAGAGGACTGAGATGAGGATTTAGTTGAGAACATGTCTCAGTTTGGTGGGCTTCCCTCTGCCTGGACTCTACTTTTCACTTATTTTTCATCCATACAACTAGCCAGTCAGGGCCTTCCTAATCAAAAAAAAAAAAAAAAAAAAAAAAAAAAAAAAAACCTAGACCCCAGCCTCTTCAATGGCAAACACTCTCTTTTAAATGAACTTTATTATTTAAAAAAACAATAAATAAATAAATAAAAATTTAAAAAAAACCTTGCAAATAGACAAAAGACCACACACCAAAATTAACCAGACTCAAAGTCTTACCAATTTAACAAATGTATACAGATTAGAATAGGCATTCAAAATGGAAGCTGTGTAGGTTCACCTTAAATCTCACACTTTCATTATCACATATATTTTATACATTTTATCCACCTGGAAGGAGGGAATGCAGGTAATGACAGGGGTTACGACAGAAGATAGAAAGCTAATTGTTTTCTAGTTCTAATTCTGTCATGGAGCGCCTGGATTTATTGGTGGACATTTTCCAATCTCCTTGCTGCTGCCTTGTGGCCCATCTAGAGTTTTCTCCTTCCCTTTGGCTTGATAAACCCTTATTGTGCTCATTCTCTTCTATTCCTTATCCCTACAGGTCAGGGGGCAAGAAGAATGTGGAGAAGAAAATCCGTAGCAATTCCTTGGACAGAAAGCTGGTTCCCCCTTGCAGCCATTGTTACTTCTTGCTATTATTACATTGCTATTCCTTGGGGCGGGTCCTGTGGATCTTGTTACCCTTTCTCACAGTTGTAACTTTTGTTTACTTTCTGACTCTTACAAACTTTCCTGTCCCTCCAGCTTGTGAATTTATTTAGTTATAGCTTTCTTGGTCCTCAGTTTTGTTTACCTTCTGATTGTGAACTGTGCTGTTCCTCTGGGAATAGTAAATCATTACCAACAGGCACATTCAAGGTTTGGCAGGCCACGGCTTGCACCCCTCTTGTCTCAGCTGGGGTCATAAGCACACACCAAGAATGTGTGCCACCATAACTGGATGGCACATGGGTATTTTTTTTTAGATTTATTTCTTTGTGTGTGTGTGTGTGTGTGTGTGTGTGTGTGTGTGTGTGTGTGTGTTTGTCTGTATATCACATGCATGCCGGGTGTCCAAGGAAATCAGAAGATGTTGGATACCCCTGGAACTGGAGATGTGAATGATGGATTATGAGAATGTTGAGAGGCAAAAACTTGTCCTCTACAAGAGCAACAAATGCCCTTAACCACTGAGCCACCTCTCCAGCCCCGGGATGTTTTGATAAAGAACCAGATGCGGTTTTTGAGGTGACCGTGAGAGTCATGATCTTTTTGGGTAATGAGGAGTTCTTCAATTTGTAAAGGTTCCTTCCTGGGTTTTCTGTAGAAGGTTTGACAAAGCTTGCTCCACATTTAACTTTGTTTCACTTAGAGCCTGGCCCACTTTCGCTTTAGAAAGCAGCTTGAGTGAGTGAAGATAGTGGGCTCAGTGCCAATTGTCTGCAGTACACTCCATCTCTGTCACCTTCATCTCCAGAATGTCCATACAGATCAATTCACAGAGTGAAGGGAGGCACAGTCCTGACAATGATATTGACAGTTTGGAATAAGATGTTGAAATGCTACCTACAGAGAAGAACTCAGCACCACAAGCAGATTCTATACTCACTCCCAGTACTTCAATGTTCTACAGTTAAGAGAACTGGAGACAAAATACAAGCTTGTCTGTGCTTTTATGTGTCTTTGATTGATGTCCCACTCATTAAAACCTGTTGTCTATTATGCAGCCAGTATGACTTTAGACATTAAGTCCATATGTGGCTAAGTCAGGGCATGGTGATCCATAATTAATTCAAGAGGATTCAAGGCCAGCCTGGGCTCCAGAGTAAGAATTTTATCTCAAAGAATAAAACTATAACTATCCCAGGACTGGTTATCTTTCAGTTCATGTAAGATTCATAGTGCCTTCAAGTGACCTATTGGTGAAATTCTAAAAACACTGCACACTGTAAGGAAAGGACCAAGCTCAGAGTTAGAGACCAAGTGTGGTGGGAAGAAGACTGTAGGTTCATCCAGCGGTACATGCCCGCCTTAGACTATCAAGGACAATGAGATCCGTATTTGGGATATTATTCTATAGGACCATGACAAGACATTGCAATTTTGGCATCATCTTGCTCTACAGGTCTGCTACCTGACCTCTGGTGACCTGCACAGGGGTTCATGCAACTGAGTAGGGGTGTTGGCTTTTCTAATATCAGTGAATCCTAACAGAAATCATGACAGAACACTTAGAACTACAGAAAACTCTTGTGAATTTTGTTTCTCTAGGGCAGCCAATTTGTTATTGTTTATGATTCAAATCACTCCCCTTATTTATTTGAAACATCAGACTTGTACAGCTCATAAATAACACTCCCAGAGATTCTGGAAATCCAGGCTGTTGGTGAAATTGCAATGAATCCCATTATGATAAAACCCCTGCATAACAAAATTATTGTCAGCTCTTCTCCAACAACTGGGAACTCAGCAACCACACAAAGTTTATTGAAATGACATTTGCTCTACATGTTAAAGAAAACCTTAGCTGCATATAATAACAAATACCTGTAATCCTAACATCTGGGAAGCTGAGGCAGGAGGATTGCCTGCTCTTTGAGGATAGTCTGGACTATTTAAGATAGCTAAGTTCTCTGTCTCAAAAAATAAAAAAAGAAAGGAAGGAAGGAAGGAAGAAAGAAAGAAGGAAAGAAAGAAAAGGCCCTATCCCACCAATTACAACCAACAAAACAACAATAGAAGAGGAGAAGAAAAGCGAAAGAAAGGAAAAGGGAAAAAGAAAGAAAAGAAAACTTTGAATTTGGCTGGAAGCATGGGAAACTGTCGTAGAGGATGCTACGTGAAAGCTTTCAGTCTACTCCATTCTTTGAGGCCCCCTTCCCTAATAATAGCTGCCATCACTCTAACCAAGCAAGATGCTATCCTCTACCAGGCAGGATTCCGGTTACCTTACGTATAGATGCAGACAGGGTGGCTGTGTATTAGGGAGAGTTTCTGTAGACATAGTTCCACGGGGCTTCTCCTTTGTACCCACAACAGGGAAGCCAAGGCTATGTTTCTCTCTGGTGTGAGAGATTTCAGGCAGACTTCTCTCAGAGCCCAGTGTGTGTCCCTTGTACTCTAAGGAGCGCCACAGACTGCCAGACTGAGGTGTGGCTCAGGTCTGAGAAACCAAAAACGATTTAAAAAAAAAAAAAGCCTGCATATCAATGGGGGAAGCAATTTAGTCCCACAAAGTCAAGCCTGAGAGATTGCCATGGTGTGGGACTGTGAGCCCACTCAGTGACTGCTTGGAAAGGGCAAGCGAACTCAGCAGGAAGGGGCAAGAGATTTATCTCTGCATGTCCAGGGCTGGGAGCTAAAGCCATAAGTCAGGGGCAACATGATCTTCCTGTACCAAAGGACTGGATGGTCAGCACCCGCCCAGGGGGCACTGGCAAGAAGCCAGATTCTGACAAGCCTGTGAAAAAGGACCAGGAGAGAGTATGGAAACGTGGCCGTGGGCAGGCACATTCTGCAAGCAAGCCCTCCAGATCCTTTCTATTTCCTCAGCTTTCTTCCCCAACTTCTTCCCGGAGGAGTTGGCCAGCCTAGGAAGGGGAGGAACGCTGGGCTGAAGAAATGTAGGGTGCCTACATTACCCCCTCCCTCACCATAGGGTTTTTGCTATTGTCCTGTACCAGACATATTCATTACTGAAATGCCTGTGTTTTTAGCTAATGTAACCAAAGTCTTGAGAGTGGTTCCCAAAAGCACAGGTCCTATGTCTTCATCAGTCAGGATATAGAAAAGTTTCCAGGGCAGTATAAATAGGGTCAGTAGGAAACAATTAGACTCTTAATGAGCTCACCCATGTGCCTTGGCTAAGTATACCAGCCTTAAAGCATTCCATACCACACTGTGAGCCTCTAAGGTCTCCCCTGGTCCTTTACCTGAATCATAAGGAAGTGATATGTGTCATGAAATCCCTTTTTGCAGTTATATAATGACAATTTAGGGTTTCCAGCACAAATGTCACAAGGGTATTGGGCAAAAAGAACTGGATTTCTACATGTAAGTTTTACTGTCTAGTAAATACATGTCCGTAGAGGTCTCTTCATCTCTAACGGGCCCAGACTAGACAATTGTCAAGGTCTCCATCAGTCAGAAAATTATATTTCAAAGAATGCTACAGCAAAACCTTATATTACGGGCCAGTTGTTCAGGTTCTACTCTATCATGCTCAGCCCCATGCTGGGATAGCTCTCTCGGTCTTTCCAAAAATGGGGTTCTGACAAGGACAGCAGTGCCTTCCTTTGGAGGCAGACAGGTGTCTAGGGCTGATGTGATTGTCATGGTGACAGACTCCACATTGTGTGCCATTCATCACCTGGGAATCCCCACACACCATCCATATTCTCCTGAGTGCTCATTGCTCTTGTAGCTCTGCTCTGGTGGGAGAGGCAGAGTTGCATTTGTGACTGGTATTCCCAGGGAGAATCTCAGATAAAGAATGGATTCCTTGCTGCTGAGCTCACTGTAGTCCCCTGTTAACCAAGAGTCTGCTGGTTGCTGCAAAGTGGGAAGGGTTTTAATCTCAATCAGTGCTTTCTTTGGACCTTTGAGCAGCATGTGCTTCATCTATATAAGGCATCCGTTATTGACTTGGTTTTATTTTTTTTAAAACAGTCTAAAGCCGAGAGCTAAAGATGAATGATTTTTATGGTGTGGTATTCTTTTCATCACAAATGGCTGCTTTTGAGGAATTTAACGAATTCTTATTCACATCTTTAAAGTTCTAACCAAGAGACATTTCAGTTTCATGTCCTTACTCCACAGTCTGCGGCCCAGGTACCTCCATCTCTAGCTGTCCTAAGGTCTCACCAGGAAAGAGTTAACAGTGACCAAGTGGAGACCTTCCAGATCCTGCCAGGAGGGTTCACATCCAGCATCTGATGCTGGGGTCTCCTTTCTGCATCAGCTGCCAAACAGTTTAAACATCAGCCTTGGATGCAGGCTCACTGAAGATATTCTCACTTCTCTAGGCCCCTACACCGGCCTCTTCCCTGCAGCCCCTCCCTCCTTTTCGTTCTTCCCACCCTTTCACGCTTGTAGAAGTCGAGGGCCCCCAACTTTACACCCAAGCCTAAAGCCACCACTTGTTACTCTTCCCCCTCCCCAGATCTCTCTTATGTATATCTAACGCCCCCATCTAAACACATATACTCAGCTTACAAAATGTATTTCCTCCATTCTGAAAACATTCTTCACACTCACATGCCCATTTCCTGTCTTCCCTTTCCTTCAGTGAGAAATTTCTCACTTCACCCTTCCTCCACCGGCTCCCTTGAGGTGCCACAGTGAACCGCCTTGAAGGCACCTTGTCCTGCTGACTGCTGCTGGCCTCCTACCTGTTCTTCAGACTCCCTGTTCTTCAGACTCACTGGCCAGGTGTGCTTTGTGCACATCTGTAGTTCTAGCACTTAGGAGGCTAACCCGGAAGGTTCACAAGGTTGAAGCTGGGCTGGGTGGGCTATACAGTGAGCCTTTGTCAAAAAAGGAAGAAAAAAAAAGGAAAGAGAAAGAGGAAGAAGAAGAGAGGGAGGGAGGGAGGGAGGGAGGGAGGGAGGTAGGGAGGGAGGGAGGAAGAGAAAAAGGAGAGGAGGGAGAAAATCTCACTGGTTTTTTTTATTCCTGGGCTGTCCTGAATGTCGCCTAGGGTCTTCTGCATCTACATTTGTCATTACATTTTGATAGAACACCTGGAGTTACAGGCAATTATGAATCTCCTGATATGAGTGATAGGATCAAGACCTTGGGTTAAGATTTTAACCACTGGGGCTGGAGAGATAGCTCACTGGCTACTCTTCCAAAGTCAAATCAAAATTCAAAGCCCCATTCTAATAATTCAAATGTTGTCTCCTTGTGGTTCTATTTTTCTCTCCCAACAGCCATTATCTTGAAAAATTTCATGTTATTATTAGCCATTTGTATATCTTCTTGGAAGTTATACTGATCTTGGCCCATTTTTAAATTTGGATGCTTGACTGTTAGATATCGAGTCACTACAGTTCTCTGTGCTAGGTGCTAACTACGTGTGTGCTTTACCAATGTTTCTTCCCATGCCATCCATCACCTGTCTAGTTATCCCCACACAGTATCCTGTGAAACATCAGCATCCTTAATTTTTATGTTTTCATAATGACTCATCTTCTTTTGTTGTTTATGCTTTTGATGTCATGTTTAAGATGACTTTGTCTAACCCTAGATTATAAAATATGCTACTATATTTTCTTCCAAGACTTTTATAATTTAAATTCCTACATTTGAGTCTTTGCCTTATTTCATGTATGAGGAAGGGTTCCAACTTCATTTTTAGCATGTAGCTATCCAGCTGGCCCAGCATCATTTGTTGAAAACATGATTTCCCTCTCACTGAACAGTCTTGGCACCCTTATTGAAAATCAATTGCCTGCAAATGTAAGAGTTTATTTCTGGCCTCTTAATTCTATTCCATTGATCCATGTGTCTACCTTATGTCAGTACCATACTGTCTTAATTACTATAGCTGGTTTTGAAATTAGGATGTATGAGTCTTCTGCTTTGGTTTGAATGTGTCCCCCAAAGACCATATGTTGCAAACTTAGGAAGTAGGTCACAATAGAGATAATTAGACTCCAAACTGTTTGACCCAGAGCATGGATTAACACTGGCTGTTGTTGCAGCATACTGAAATGGGCTTTTCTAGATGTCAATCTTTTGGTCTTGGACTTTGCAGCTCACAGAAGTGTAAGCCAATATGCTTTTTCTCATTAAAAATTATTCTGGGCTGTTGTTACAGGCTCAGCCCATCTCCACCTTGATTTTCCCCTTTTGAGATAGTCTTGGTTAGTCTCAGGCACTCTCATTTGCATATGAGTAATTAGATTAACTTATAATTTCTGTATAGCCAGTTGCTGTTTTTATTTGGGTTCCATAGAATATGCAGATCAATTGTTAGAATATTGTCTTATTGTTTATTCTTTAAATATGTGAAAAAGTGATATATTCCCATTTACCTAAATTTTATATTTTTAAATTTTAATTTATTTTATGTGGGCTGGTGTTTTGCCTGCATGTGTGTCTGTGCACTACCTGGTGCCTTTGGAGGCCAGAAGAGGAAATTGAATCCTGTGGGATTGCAGATAGCTGTAAGCCACTGTGTGGGTGCTGGGAATCAAACTTGGGTCTTCTGGAAGAGCAGCCAGTGCTTAACCACTGTGCCGTCTCCCCAGCCCTTACCTATGTTTTCTTTAATTTATTCCAACAATATTTTTATAGTTTCTAAGGTATGGTTTCTTCTTTTGCTGAATTCATTCCTAAATATTTTATATTTTGGGCACTATTATACATGAATATATATGCTTTTTAAATTCTGATTTTAGTTTGTCCTTTGCTTCCAAAAAGAAGCAGTTGATTTTGTATACTGACCTTGTAACCGTGTGTGTGTGTGTGTGTGTGTGTGTGTGTGTGTGTGTGTGTGTGTGTGTGTTCCTTAGGATTTTCTTCTGTAGATAGCAACAGTTTCCCATCCTCCTTTCCAGTGTAGATGCTTCTGATTCTTCTTCATGGCTAATTGTTCTACATAGAACATTAAACATAATACTGAATGGAGTGATCAGAGTGAGCGTTTTTCTTCTCTCCTGATCTTCAGAGAAAACCTTCAGTCCTTTACTACTGAATACAGTATCAACTGTGGATTTTTTGTAATTGGCCTTTTCATAAGCCAAACTGAAAACAACTCTTATTACCAAATAAGCAAGCTGAGCTGTCATGTTTCAGAACCTTAGAGGTAGCCTACAGATTGAATTTATCACACTTTATTTAACCATAACCTTTTTGATAAACATTTAGATTTTTTTTCCTTTTCTTCCCACAATAAACAATATGTAGGATAAATGTACTTAAGTATATGTGCTTTTCATAGTGAAACAAACTCCTAGGGGTATAGCTCAGTTGATAGAATGCTTGTCTAGCATACACAAAACTCTATATTTCATCAGCAGCACTATAAATTGGCCATGGTGGTACCTATAATCCCAGTATTGGGAGGTGGAGGTGAGAGAATCAGAAGTTCAAGACCATCCAGGTCTACAAGAGACTTTGTCTAATCAAAAAAAAAAAAAAAAAAAAAAAAAAAAGCAAAGAAAAGAGATCCCCAAATGTGAGGTATAGTTTTAGTGTTCACTAATATTTCCAGGTAACTTTCTAAGAGATTATAGTCTCTGCACACCCCAAGATTGATGCTTATTATTTTTAAAGATTTAAAAATAGAGCCAGGAGGAAGTGGTGCACTCCTTTAATTCCAGCATTTGGGAGGCAGAGGCCTCCCAAACTCTCTGTGAGTTTGAGGCCAGCCTTGTGTACAAGAGCTAGTTCCAGGACAGCTAGGGCTATACAGAGAAACCTGACTCAAAAAACAAAACAAACAAAACAAAATAG